TCTCTCTCTCTCTCTCTCTCTCTCTCTCTCTCTCTCTCTCTCTCTCTGTGTGTGTGTGTGTGTGTGTGTGTGTGTGTGTGTGTGTGTGTGTGTGTGTGTGTGTGTGTGTGTGTACACACACACACACACACAAAACGGTGTGGGCATTGAGTTCATGTAATCTGAGCTATGTGGGAGTAATTCTTGTATCCATGCTTTTGAATTTTTGGATGCTTTTGCGCGCCCCTGTGGATGGATTTTTGTTCTCCACGGGGGGGGTGGGGCGAGAGAGAGAGAGAGAGAGAGAGATAGAGAGAGAGAGAGAAGATTGTTGTCGCACGTGCTTAACGTTCGTGTCTGGTTTACCCGTCTCACACTCGGACACTCGTTCTCTTCCCCTGTGTTGGGTTGTATTTCTCCGCAAATGGATTGCCGCAGCGAAAAGTCTGCCGAACACCTGCAGGTACTGAACTGGATGAAAGCGGGATTCGAGTACTCCGATTTGCTGCTGACGGTCAGTCCCACGTATGCAGCCGAGGTCGCTACAGAGCACGAGCGTGCGCAGATTTGCAAGACCTGATTTCAAGAAAGGGGATGCTTGGGATAATGAACGGCGCAGATGTGACGGAGTGGAGTCCGGTCAATGACAAGTTCCTGCCTAAGAGATACGACCTCAACTCGGTGAGTGCTGTTTGTGAACCCTTGACCTCTTGCTCTTCACTCCAACGTGATAGGTGGTATCTGAACGACTTCCACGGTGGAGGTATAGTTGACGGCAACAATTGTTCCTTTCTGCACCTGTCCGTCATGTTATGTTGGTAGCGTACGGATAGTTTATCCTTCACAGTAAGAGACCCGTTCGATATGGACTTCGATCCCGGTGTTCCTTTCTGCACCTGTCCGTCATGTTACGTTGGTAGCGTACGGATAGTTCATCCTTCACAGTAAGAGACCCGTTTGATATGGACTTCGATCTGAAACTGTCGTCGACTCGGTTTTATTCCGTGTTGCAGGTGTTTGACGTCAAGCCCTCGTTGAAGCAGCAGTTGCAGGCGGAGGCAGGCTTCGCAGCCCGTCCGGAAGTTCCTTTGTTTGGATTCATGGGCCGGCTGGACGAGCAGAAGGGGTCGGACATCTTGGCAGCCGCCATCCTTAAACTCGTGGAAGAGCTGAAAGGAGAAGCGCAGTTCATCATGCTGGTGCGTGCATTGAATTGTTTTCTGCACTTGACTCACATGCCATATCTGAAAGCACTTGGCAGATTACGGATCTTTGAAACGTACCTGCCTTTCACTTTAGTCCAGGTGCGAAACCTCTACCTGGCCATGTAGGTCCCCGTGGAGGGTTACTCTGTCGCACTACTGTCCATTCAGATTTGCTCTTAGTGGGCATTCTCTCTTTTCCTCTCGACGATAAGACGAGTTTTGTGTGCTTCTTCCGTTTTTTGTACGTACTGTGAAGCGCACCAATGGCCAATAAGGTAGTAGAACGGAGTGGAAGCACGGCAGTGGGCAGGGGAATGGAAACTACCCGTGGTGGCATTAATTGGCAGTGTTTCGTTCTGTTTTCGACTTTTTTTTTCTTTTTTCTCTGGTTGTTCAGGGAACGGGCAAGGCTCAGTATGAGAAGCAGCTGCAAAATTTGGAGAAAAGGTTTCCCGAACAGGTGCGGGCAATGACGAGGTTCAGTCCCCGACTGGCCCACATGATCGTTGCCGGGTGTGACTTCATGGTGCTGCCCAGCCGCTTCGAGCCTGCCGGACTCGTGCAGCTGCACGCCATGCTCTACGGCACGGTAGGTTGCTCCCCCAAATCTCTCGTGGATTTCTCTCATGGATATTTTAATATGAGTTTCTTTGCTCAGTGTTCTGTGCGTTTGTCATGGTTGATTGCTCGCTCGCTAAGATGGCTTGTGGCCTGTATTCATGGGTCTGAAGATTGCATAATGTCCTTGAGGGGGGCGCAAAAGGTGATCGATAGCATGCAGATGTATATTCTTGACGTTCTAATAGTTATTGACGTGGACTACCAAGCCAAAATGAAGACAGACTATTTTGAGCACTGGTTTTAGTTATGAGTTCTCCTATTTTGGGTAATGACGAAACGTTGTGTATGGCTTTGGCCGCTTTGCAGATTCCAGTTGTTGCGTCTACAGGCGGTTTTCTGGACTCAGTCCGCGACGGTGTAACTGGCTTGCACATGGGGAAGTTCGGCGTCAAGGKAAGTAACTTTTCACTTGCTCACTACTTGGCTGTGATATGGTGCCGCTGGAAATGGATGGAAAGAATTTGTTCTTGGTTTGAGATCTTAGGAAGGAGAGCAGTGACTTCCAGATCAGCGAGTGGGACATTAGCTCTTTCCTCCAAGTCTGTAGTAGGGACTGTTGTATGCACGACGTAGCCTTAAGGAGCTTGAAATGCTAAGGGAAGAATCGGTTAGGCTTGCGGAATATAACGAGTGCGCTATTGTTTGTCCCCGTGATGTTAACAATGGACGTCGGACGATGCCCGTCTGCTTTTAGGTGCTCTCCGTCAGACTGCCGTTGATTCATACACTGTGTGGCCAGTTATCTGATCAACAGTATATGTGGCCCATTCTCTGATGAAAGATATATTGGGCTTTCCTATTGCACTGTACAAATGTAACACATCTTTGTCAAAGAATAAGCCGAAGCGGATTGGGACGGCAGCCCGTCTCCTGATTAAGTGGTGACTCATGCCGTGGCTGTCATCTTTTAAATGTTGATTGACCATTTGGCAGCCGGAAGGGGGGGCAGAGGAGGTCATCAAGGCTGTGGAGGGACTTAAGCGGGCCATCGAGGTGTTTTCAACCCCTCACTTCAGCAGCATGGTCGTGGCCGCCATGTCGCAGGACCTCTCCTGGAAGGTGGGTGAGTGAGCAAAGAGAGGTGACCATTGAGCAATGCCTTCCCACGCTGATGTTACTATCTTGATAGGCACACGTACTTGCGTGTATTCGCGTGCATGTTTTCCTGCTGGTTGTCACTTTGAAACTATAAGTATTCATGATGTGCAAGTAACCACACTGCAATGCTTCTTAATCGGGTTGATATTTATTGAGGTGAGGATGGGCAATGGTGAATCGATGATGACTCTCCCACTATCTTCCACTCTCTATACGTATGTGTTTGCTCTCACAGTCGGCGGGATCCAGAAGGTTTTCATTTATGTAGTAATGACCATCAATGTATTTGGAATAGTTTTAGCTTTATGCCAGAATCGTTTAAAATATATAGCGGCTAAAATAGCGTTGATGAATACTATTATAGCTATTACAATGTCTATTACTGTGTTTTCATTGGCAGGAATATGTCCATTAGCAGGATTTTGCAGCAAATTTTCTCTTTTTTCCTGCTCTAAGGTTGCGGAGCTTTTTTCCTACTCCTCTAATACTCGAAAGGATTACTGGTCACATTGTTGTCTCTGTTGGCTCGCAGGGTCCTGCCCGGGCTTGGGAGCAAGCATTGCTCAGTCTGTTAAAGGATGCACGGAAGGAAGGAAGAGAGACAACTGACGTTTTTCCGGGAGAGAAGGTGGAGAAACACCTCCCAGCAAGAGGTGCAGCGAGGGAGACCCTGCCTGCGACCATCAGTTTAGTGCAGTAGCGATCCTGCTGTGCATGGACGAATGTGTGACGCTGGCAGTGCAACTTTTGTCTCTTCACCAGTGCATCAGCGTCGAGAACCGTTAGCAGATCATTGCGGTTCGGGTTTTCGGATGCTTGGTGGTCATGTAGCGACACGGTATGGGCCTTTCTAGAATAGGAGAGCGTTTCTTACTTAATTAAAGTTGATTCTGGCTTTTCTAGAATAGAAGAATGTGAAGAGAACGTACCTCTCCTCGTTGAGTTATAAGTCTCGGGCGTTGTGTGGTTGATCTGCTGCTCGGGGTGGTCAATCAGATAGTGTGCCCTTTACAGAGTGGGTGCAGCGCTTCAGGCGTTTTTATGTATTGATGCAGACGTCCGTTTCTTCCAGTTACGTCCAGTTGGTGATATCATGAAGTGTTAGACCAATCAGAATGCAAAATTGTCGGTAGGAGCAGCAATCTGTGATAGGATGAAATATCACATGATAGGCTAAGAGCAGTTTTTTTCGGCTTAGTGAAATTTGAAGGTCTGGAAGTTGGAAGGACGAACCTTCGGGGTGGTTCCTGAACAATTTTGGGTTTGTAGGAAGTTGCCCAGGACTGAAGGAGATAATCGCAGGAGGCTCCAAGGCCATAACTGCAGCAGGAGGCTAGTGACTGCTAGTCGATGGAGTCTTCGAAGTTCAAACAACATTATGTAAAAGTCAAGTGGTCTTTTAATTCCTTGTCGATGAACCAAGTGCATGATGAGTGCTGTTGATAGTTCTATGGTTGTAAACACAAAGCAGCTCAAATTTGTTGCACTTAGCGGGGTTCTCGATACCCAGTCGCCCATCGTGACTAGGTGGCCGCCCTCTTGGTGTCATCTCCTTAAGGCCGTTGTTGCTGCGGCACAGCAGATGTATAAGGCTGTTGGCTTTAGTTTAACTGGTGGCAGTCGCTCCCTGAATATGTTTTCATGGCGATCTTTTGCTGTTTGCTCAACAGAACAATGATGGCTCTAGAATAAGGTTGTGTTATTCCCCCCCCCTCGTATTTTGTGTTCGTGTTTCTATTTTCCAAAGGTCAAGTCTGAGGTTGCGATTGAGTTTTCCCTCCTTAACATCTCTTTTCCTTTCTTGAAAGTTCAAACTCCCAACGCATCAAGTCAAGGAGGTAGAGAGCAACATTATCTTCAATCCATTCATTCATCTATTGCTAACATACATTTAGAGAGCCTTAGAGAGAAAAGCTCATTCAAAACAAGGGAACCATCTTGTTGAGGATTTAAAAACTGAAGTCGTAAATTTAAAATAATGTGTTGTGGTAGTTCCACAGCAAAAATATTAGCGGGGCCAAACTTTCGTTGCAAAAATATGTCTGTCGTTGCAGCTTTAGAGCTCCTGGTAGTTTCACAGCCAAAATATTAGCAGGTGTGGTCCCACATTCCTTGCAAAAATAGATTTTGGACCCGTTCAAGATGTCTCCTGCGAAACTTTGAAAACGCGCTATTTCTGCAATTACTCCACTTAAAAAGGCGCTCTTGCCATCCATATCCACCTAGAATACATGCAAGCTCAAGGGGAAGCAAATTACTCGCCTCTTATACATGTGGGACTCCTGCCAACGATCACCACCGATCACTTGGGCGTATACAAAAATGCCGACAATCCATTGCCATGCAGTCGGTGACCACCTTAGCGATTGTCACCAGGTCAATCTGGGCAATCAATGCTGGCAGGATGCCTCTTTGCACAAGGAAGTTCTGATGGTGACCCTGATGGTTGATGAAAAATGGGACGCTGGACCCCGTTTCCAGCAGGTGTGGCTCCCCACCAATAGACTGGAGCACCCAGAATAACTGCTAGGGGGGTGTGCTTGTAGCACCCTCCCTAGCAGCAAGGCTGGTTTTTGAAAAGAAAAAGAAAAAGGGAAAAAAAATCTGGCTACTGCACAGATGTTCTCACGTCCTGCATTCCTTGCAGTTGTTATACTCGTTAACCTTGCATGGAAACCAACCCACAAGACTTTCCAATCTGCGAAGCACGAACGTGCTAGCAATACGAGTCAGCTTTCAGCGTAAGAGGGCAAGATAATCACACTTGCGAAATTTATATGTGCGCATCCGCATAGATGCATGCAAAGGAAAACAAAGACGGATTGGTAGCAGTTTCTACCTCATCAGCGATGACTGCCGCAGTCACTGTGGCCCAAATGGCCATTCAGGGGTGGTCGTACCTGTGAACACTGAACAGCCGTTCACAACCCCAGTTCACTCCCCTCGCTCACGGCGGTTTCGGAGCCTTCCAGGCCCCCCCCTGACCACGAAAGGTGGGACAGATCAGTTCACTCCCCTCGCTCATGGCGGTTTCGGTGCCTTCCAGGCCGCCCCCCGCCTACGAAAGGTGGGACAGAGGTGGTGCCAGCGGCCCTTATGACCCCAGTCTCAAATATGGAAAAACAAAATGCCGGGCTTGAGGGGTTTACAATTTTTTTGTTTGGGGAGGGGGAATGCGTTGGTTGGTGGCGGGACTCACGCACATGGCTTAAAGAAAAGCAAAGGATTATTTTTGGGATCTTCGAGGGACATCAAACTTAACTGAAGGCACCCCCCTGCCCCAAATGCACCAAGTTCCCCCAACCTCCCCAACCCTCCCTGGCCCCTCGGGCCTCAGCCCTCCCTAGCACCCCTTCCTTAAGCCCCTCGAACCCCTGAAACCCCCCTACCCACTCCAATAAAGAAGTGGGAG